CCTAACCCTAAACTTAATCCTAACCCTAAACCTAATCCTAACCCTGTCTAACCCTAAACCTAACCCTAAATCTAACCATAACCCTAACCCCAAGTTGAACCTTAACCCGAACCCTAAACCTAAGTCTAACCCTAACCCTAACCCTAACCCCAAGTTGAACCTTAACCCGAACCCTAAACCTAAGTCTAACCCTAACCCTAACCCCAAGTTGAACCTTAACCCGAACCCTAAACCTAAGTCTAACCCTAACCCCAAGTTGAACCTTAACCCGAACCCTAAACCTAAGTCTAACCCTAACCCTAAGGGGAAAAAAAGGGGATGTCGAAGTGACGAGTTAGAGCATTCTCTGTCTGTTCACCAGGTCCCTCGGTGTTCTGGAGGTCGGCCAGGTACCTGGAACATGGAAGTACGTGACTGGTATTTAGGGAAATGCTATCAATGGTGCTTGTCCACTGAAATGAGCTGAGTGTGCCCCCGCCCCCACCCCCACAGCCTTGGTTGTGGTTCGTTGCTCCGTTAGCCTGGTTCCCGAATGGTCAGCCTCTCCACCACTGGACGCTCACTGCCAGAGCAGAGACTCTGGAGAATGGGGTAGAACTCCTGCGGGGTTTCCGGGCTGTCACTCCCACTGGAGCGGAGGGCCTCCTCTTTGGCCCAAGGAGTGAGTGGCTGGCGAGTGGCCTTGAACTGCCACTGCCTTGGGGCCCACTACCCCACCAGGACGCCTTCCTGTTCCACCTGGAGGGGTTACTCATTGGGCCGAAGCACTGGACGTTCGGGGTGACATGCTATCATGCTCAGATGTTGTCACAGACACTCAAGGTTATACTTTGCTGTTGAAAGCAAGAGAGAGATTCTAATTACACCAGACCAACTTAGAACCCGTGATAAGGCGGGGATTGACTATACTCATTCTTTCTAGTTGGGCTCTGGTGGTTTCCCGAGCAATTTTACACGCACCCCCAGAGACACTTCTGTCCTCTCACAGGTGGAGGGGTGGGGTGGGGGTGGGGGCGCAGTTTCAGAGTAGGAGGAATGGCACGGATGACCAGGAACGAACAGGAAGCTGCTCTCTCCATCTCCGGCTCCTCTCTCTGTGCTCCTGAATCCATTCAGAAAACCTCTGCCCCTCGGAAAGGACAAGCCTCAATAGCTACTGGGGCAGAAGAGAAAGCTGTTCATGTTCAAGACCAATAGGCTACTTCTCCATCGTCTTGTCTCACTGCCAACCCACCGTCAATGCCAACCCAGCGTAACTCTATAGGACAGCACAGCGCCGTCTCTGTGGGTTTCCAAGACTGTTAACTATCAATGGGCGTAGAAAGCCTCATCTTTCTCCCACGGAGTGGCTGGTGGTTTTGAACTGCTGACCTTGCGGTGAGCAGCCCAATACGTAACCCACTGTGCCACCAGAGATCCTGGTTAGTCCTAAACCCCCAAACCAAACTCATCCAGTGGATCCTAACTGAGTTTTAACTTGGCCGGTAGAGTGTTGCTATTGTTTTAAAGAACAAACTATGAGGTTCAATCAGTTGCCAGTATTTTTTGTAATTAGGGAATTTTACATCAAAGATTGTCATTCTCATGAAAATCCAGAAGCGCTAGCTGTTTGGCCTTGGTAGCCATCTCTTAGGACCTGTCTCGGGGTCTCATACCTCACCACTCCCTACTGCCCCCCACCCTGATGCCCTGTGCCACGGGACTGGTGCTCTTGTCCCCTTATGAGCTGAGATGAAAATAAGATGCTTCTCACATCTGTTTTGATCAAAAGTGGGAAAACCTGCTAGAGATACTGTTTCCAAGAAGAAACAGGAGAGAACATAGTTCCTCGTGGTGGTGACAAATACTCTTTATGCCCCTCGTGCGCAAAGTGGGTCGTTCTTCAGAGAATGTAGCTCAAAATGCTCCCGTTAAACAACACCGGTGCGTCCTGCTCATTTACAATACTGCCTGGTCCCCGAAAGGCCAGTGGTTCTCAAAGTTTAGGGCCTCAGTACCCCTTTACACTCTTAGAAGTTGTTGAGGACCCCCAACAACCTGTGAAAATGGTGGGTTATATCTATAAATGTTTAAAGGAGCCTTAGAGGGCCATGGATCACACACTGGGCTGCTCACCGCAAGGACTAGCCACTCTGGGAGAAAGATGAGGCTGTCCACTCCCGTGAAGAGCTGCAGTCTTGGAACCCTGAGGGGCGTCTGCCCTGCCACCTAGGGCCCTGTGATTGGAGGGGCAGTGAGTCTGGTTTGGTAGGTGTCTCACATACTAGACGGTGACGCTGGGCTAATTGTAAAGTACACGTTCCCTAAGCTCCAGAAAACTCCTCTATCCACCTGCATGAGAGAGAGGGGAGGGGAGGAGAAGGCAGGAGAGGGGAGGGGAAGAGAGGAGAGGGGAGGGGAGGG